GCGCAGGTGTTTCCGTGGTTCCAGGACCCGCCGAGGGGATCCCCGCCACGCTCCATTCCAGGGTTCTCAGCTGGGCCCCAGCTCTCTAACTGCCCCCCCCCCCCCGGAAGACCTGCTTGTTTCAGGCCTGTTCTCCCTCTGGCGCCGGCGGCTCTGGGGGGGGACTCTGGCAGGGGGGGGGGGGAGGCGGTGCTCGTTCCCGGACGCCAGGTCCGAACTGGGACAGCGCTGGGCAGCGGGCATCCCACCGAGGGCGAGACCACCTGGCGGAGGAGCCACGCGCGGGCGGTGTGGCTGGAAGAGGCGCCTCCAGCCCCTGCTGCAGCCCCGCGGGTGCGCTGGTCCCCGCGGTGGGCTGACTGCAATTTAGTGTCTGCCGCTCCCACTGACTCCCAGTGACTCCCACGGCCTCCCACTCACTCCCATCACTCCGGCGAGCGGGGGGAGCAAGGCCTTGTCTGGCTCCGCGCGCAGTTCCCCGCCGCCCAGGATGAGGCCAATAGAGATTTGCTGAGTGAATACATGGGGGGGGGGGGCTGGGGGCCAGGAGGGGGGCCAGGAGGGGGCCCGGGGGCCAGGAGAGGGGCTGGGGGCCAGGGGCCGGGGGCAGGAGGGGGGCTGGGGGCCAGGAGGGGGGCCGGGGGCAGGAGGGGGCCGGGGGCAGGAGGGGGCTGGGGGCCAGGAGAGGGGCTGGGGGCCAGGGGCCGGGGGCAGGAGGGGGGCTGGGGGCCAGGAGGGGGCTGGGGGCCAGGAGGGGGCCGGGGCCAGGAGGGGGCCGGGGCTGCAGGAACAGGAGCTCCGGAGAGGGGGTGGGGTGGGGAGGCCTCTGCTGCCGGGAGGGGCCCTGGGCTCCCCTGGGACCGGAAGAGCCGACCCTCTCCGGGAAGGTCGGCGCTTTCTGAGCAGCGCCCCTCGGAGGGTCAGGACCCCCACGACGGCCCCGCCGGGGAGGTGCCGGCAGCGCGGCGGCTTCCGGGCACCGCGCTGAGAATAAACAGCTCCGCGCTGTCATCCCGTCGCCATGGCGACCGCGCTCTGCGGCGCGCGGGGCGGGGCCTGTCCGCGCAGGCGCGCTGGGCGGCGGCGGCGGCGGCGGCGGCGGGACCTCCGGGGCGGCTCCGCCGGGGCTCCCGCGGGTCCGGGAAGCGAAGCGCCTCTTCCCGGCACCGGGGCCCGGGAGCCCGCGCCCGCCCGCCCGCCGCCGGCACCGGGGAGGCCCGGACGCGGCCCGGGAAGGTGCGCCCCGGACCCGGCTCTTCCCACCGGCGGCCTCGGGCTTCCCGGTGCTCCCGGTGCATCCACTCCGTGCACGCGGCCCCCACCTGCGACTTTCTCTGCTTCCACCCGGCGTGGCTCTCCGGCTCCCCTCCCTCCCTCGCCGCCGCCGCCGCCCCCTCCCGACACCCTCCTCGCGGACAGCGGGCACCCCCGCAGCTCCCCGGCGGGGCCTCCGTCCTCCCAGCCGCCCCCCAGCGGGCCTTCCGTTCCACCCGGGGAGCCCGCCCCGGACAGCGGGGGGAGAGAGGCAGGGCCTCTGGGGTGGCCTTACCGTCCCAGCAGCCAGGGCACCGTGCGGGGCGGGGCGCGCTCCCCCATCGGGCCAGGGGACCCCAGCTGCGCTCTTCCTGAAGCCACGGGGGCACTGGTACCTGCGGAGGCAGTGGTGCCTGCAGGATGCGTCTCAGGAAATCACAGAACCAGGCGGCACCCCTTCTCCAGCGCCAGGGCAGAGAGCCCCCCAGGAAGTCCTTTGGAGGTGGGGTGTCTGCCCCTGAAAGAACCGGGAGGCCTTTGCCACAGGAGAGGAGGAGGAGGAGGAGGAGGAGGAGGAGGAGGAGGAGGAGGAGGAGGGACGGGCTTGAGGAGCCCCCAGGGGCTATAGGGGCGGGAATTCTCGCTCTGCTGGCGCGCACCTGCTTGCCGTGTGGTCTGAAGCCAGTTGCTTTCCTTCTCTGGGACTCCGCTTCCTTGTGAGCAGAACCAGAGGGAGCCCCATCTGTGGACTGGACACGGAGGGGACAGAAGAGGACATGGGAAGAGGCTGGAGAGGCCATCCAGGGAGAGGGGTCAGGGTCTCCCTTCAGCCAGGGGTCAGGGCCGCTCCATTCTGTTAGGGTCCTGTGGCTGACAGCTGCCTTCTGCACTGGGGCCGGGGGTGAGGGGCCTTTCTGTGCTCCAGGTTCAAGGTCCCCTGAAGGCAGATGGTGGCTGTCGGGCAGCCCAGGGCCGGGAAGAGCTGCCAGAAGTTTCCCAGGCTCTCCTCCTCCCGGAGGTGCTGGGGAGCCAGGCCCACTGGGTGCCCCCCCTGACCCGGTGCCCTGGGAAGGTGACGGGATCTGGCCGGAGTCCTGCTCGCCAAGGCGGGGTCTCTCTCGCGTGGTTCCTACGCACTCTGTCCACTCAGCGGACGCAGTGACGCCCGGCCTGGTCACTTTAGGTTATTTTCCTCAAAAGGTCAGGAAACGGGAAAGAAACATGCCGTTGTTTGTTTACTCTCGGTGCCTTTTGGACACTGGGTCCTGGAGCCGCTCGCTCGGCAGGGCCTGCCTTTGTTTTCGGCTCAGGGATGGGGCTGCCAGTCATCCCTCCGTCTGGGGGCCTGGGGGGCTCGGCGGAGGAGGAAGCAGGGAAGGAAATGCCAGAGAGAAGGATCTTTTGTTTGCTTTCTGCAGAACCTCAGTGCTGAGTCCTGGCGGTGGGTGGCACAGACCTGCTGGCGTGCCCCCCGGGAGCACCCCGGGCTCTCAGTGCTGGGAGCCCAGAGGCCTGGGCGTCCTGGGTCCTCGCCTGTGCCTTCCCCACGTTCCCGAACGGTGTGTGCGCCCTTAGCAGGTTGCTTCACCTCTGTGACCCCGAGTGGCTGCCCTCAGTGAGTCCACAAATATTTGCTGAGCATCAGAAGTGACCGGTCCACTTCCCGCTCCCACGGACACAGCGGTGCCTGGGAATGTGGGGGTGACTGGCAGGTCGGGGACCCCATCCACTGCTCAGGCTGGGGCTGCAAGGAGCAAGGTGGGCAGCTGGAGGTGTGGGGAGCAGGGCCCCTGGGGAGAGCCCAGCCACACCGAGGTCAGGGGTCATCACCAGGACCCCGGCCTGGCTTTCTCGGAAAACCTCCCTGCCCAGGAGCGGGCGCCTCTTAATAGCTCGGAGCCTCTAAAAGCTTCGACCACAGGTCCGCTCGCTCGCTGCAAGCCCTTTGAAGCGCTTCCTTCGAACTCGCTTTGCATATTCTGGTCAGATCTGAATCAGACGAGCAGGAATTACCCTCCCTGGGCAGTCTCGGGGCTGCCGGAGCTTGTAAGTGACGTGAAGAGCCGAGCCCGAGGACGCCAGGGCCACGGAGGGCGGTGCTCCCTCTCCCTCCTCCCCTGGGCACGGCGTGTGGGTGTGTGTGAAAGAGAAAGCAAGGCAGAGAAGGGGAGGGAGGGGAGGCGGGGAGAAAGGCTCAAGTCATGTTTTTCATTAAAAAATAGTGCTCTTTATTATAAATTACTGAAATGTTTCTTCTCGAATATAAATATAAATATGTGCAAAGTTTGACTTGGATTGGTATTTGGTTGAGTTCAAGCATCTCCTGACAGCCGTGAAGGCCTGGGTGGGGGCGGGGAGAGGGCCGGAGGGAATCTTTATAAAAGACAAGAGTGAGGCAGGTTGTAAACATCGTCAAAAAAAAAACAAAACAAAACGAAAACCAAAATAACAAGAAAAAAAGGAAAACCCCAGCACACAGTTGCCCCATCCAGACCAACACCCGACACGGAAAACTGTGTTAGTCTTCCCCCCCATCCCCCCCAAAATGATTCCAGGTAATTCCATCACTGCTACATTCCTGTGTTTTCACCGATCAGTGCTATGGTGGAGCGGCCGCCCGCCGGGGGCAGTGCCCAGCGGTCCCCAGGTTGGGGGGGGGGGGGGGGGGCGGGGCGCTGTGCAGGGCCTGGGGCTGGGGGAGCCTGGTGGCTGTGCTCGGGCCAGAGCCCAGGCACCAGGTGGCACCTGTGACAGGCTCGGCGGGAAGGGGTGGCCGAACACCTGCCTCCCGCCCCGGCCCTGGCCGGCAGCCTGCCCTCTGAGAACCCCTGGGCCTCGGCCTGGACCGGCTGAGTGTGTGGCTTGTGTGCCAGGCCCTGTCCATGGGACAGGGAGCGTTTAAGGCAAAATCTCCGCGCCAGACATAGGAGGCACAGAGTAGAACCCTCCACCGTCCCTGGCGGGATCAGGGGTCAGAGATGGCTCACCTTCTCCATCCTCCGCAGCCCCAGGTGCTGGGAGGTATAGTGTGAGCGGGGCAGAGAGCTGACCGGCCTGTCCAGCCCCCCCCATCCCCCCGCATGCCACTTCCCCCTTAAAACGGGGGAAGGCCCTGGGCTCCTGAGCACTCAGCAGGCTCTGGCACCTGTGTTTCCCGCCGGCTGTCCCAAGAGGGAGGGAGCCGAAGGGTGCCCCTCAGGTCACCCCTGGGCCTTCTCTCCAGAGCAGCCACCCTCCTCACCTGGGCTGGGCGGGGGAGTGGCCATTCCTCTGGCCAGCCTGTGGCCCTGGGGCCCGGAGGTGCCCTCGCGGGTCCACCCTTCCCCAGGCCTGGGCCTCGCTCAGGTCTAAAGCCATGTTTATAACCAAATCAAAGCGCAAACAAGTTCCTTTGGGAAGCGTATGTTCCCGGCAGTCCTCACTAGTTCAGCACACGCGGCAGGGCCCGGGTCCGGGGAGGAAGCCGACTCCCCAGCTGATCCGCTGCGCTGCTGTCGCTGAAGTGGTCCCTTCTGGCCCGCGGGGGGAGGGGCGCCCAGGTGGCACTCCCCTTCCCTCCCGCACATTCCAGCCCCGCCTGCCCGTGCCCTAGGGGGGAGGGCCCGCGGGAGGGGCCGGCCCAGCCCCGGGCTCACCCAGGGCGGCGGGCGGGACTCTCTCCACCGAATTCTTGTGCTTGTGCCATGTGCCACGGAGGAGCGGGGGCGCCCGGGCCCCCCGGCCTGCCCCCGGCCCCTTTCAGGCTCCTAAAGCGGGGCGTCGTACTGGTCCAGGAACTCCCTGATGGGGCCGGGCAGCTGGGTGACCTTCTCGTAGGAGTCCAAGTGGCCGTTGACCGTCTTCCGACAGAGATGCTGGAGGGTGGCCACGTTGGAGGAGAGCGGCCGGCTCAGCACCAGCGGGATCTTCTCGCCGCCGGAGTAGATGTAGTAGGCCCTGCGGGCGGGGGGCCCGGGGGCGGGCGGCGGCGGGCAGGCGGCGCCCCCGGGCGGCGGGGGCATGTAGTGGTGCACCAGCTTGAGCACGCAGTCGAAGCGGGGCACGGGCTGCGTGCTGCGCGGGTCGCTCTGCAGCGAGAAGCTGCCGCCCTCGCACTGGATGCGCAGGTTCTTGGTGCCCGACGGCGTCTTGACGCTGAGCGTGAAGAAGTGGCGGCGGTCCGAGCTGTCGCGGATGAGGAAGGTGCCGGCGGGCTCGGCGCTGAGCAGCAGGTTGGCCTCGCCGCCCGTCACGGCGCTCCAGTAGAAGCCGCTCTCCTGCAGCTTGCGCACGGCGTTCACCACCAGCTGGTACTCGCTCTTGGAGCTGAAGGTCTTGAGGCGCAGGCTGGCGTCCAGCGGGCGGCTCATCCCGGCGGCGGCGGGACACTTGCTGTGGGTGACCATGGCGCACGGAGCCAGCGTGGGCGCGCGGCGGCGGCGGCGGCGGCTCGGCGGCCTCCGGACAGCGGCCGCTACTGCATCCCGGGGGGCTGCGGGGGGGAGGCGCCGCGTGAGTGCCCGGAACTCCGGCGCCCGGCCCGCCCCGAGCCTGCGCCTCCCACCCCGCCCCCGCCCCCGAGCGGCCGGGGGCCCGCTGCCCCGGATGGGGGTCCGAGCCCCGGGCCCCGCGGAGCCCGCCCGGCCCCGTCCCGCCGGCGCCCGGGCGGCCCCCGAGTTGCACTCGGCGCGGAAGTTGGTGTCCGGGCGCGCGGCCGGACGGGGAGCAGGAAAGGGCCCGGGACGCTCCGGGCGCCGCGCAGTCCGCCGGCTCCGGGCGCCCGGGACCGAGGGAGAAACCCGAGGCTTCGCGGGGGGAGGGCGCGAGGAGCCCGCGGGCCCGGCCCGGCGTTCCGGGAACCGGGATCTCCGATCCCCTCCGCCCTGCTCCGCCCGTCCCCTCCCCGCCCTGCCGGGAAGACCCTGGAGAGGCGGGGACGCCGGGGACCTCCGGGACCGGCCGCGGCCGCCCGCCCCGCTGCCTACCTGGTCCCGCACCGGAGTCTGCGGCCTCGGCCTGGGCGCTCAGCCGCCTAGGGTCCCGCAGGGGAGGCGGCGGCCGGCGGGGCCCGCGCTGCGCCCAGATGTTGGCGGCGGCGGCCAAGTCCACGATGGAGCCGCCCTCGTGCGTCCCGCGTTCCGCCGGGGCGTCCGCCGGGCTCCGGGCGGGTCGGGCCGGAGAGGCGGGGGCCGCGGGCTGCGGGCGGCGGGCGGGCGCGTGCGGGCCGGCGGCGGCGGCAGCGGCGGCGGCGGCGCGGGCGGAGTGGGAGCCGCGGCGGCCGCCCCGCGGGGAGTATATGCCGGCGCCGGCCCCGCCCCCCGGTTCCTGGAACTGCGCGGCCGGTCTTCTTGTAATGTTTAGTCACCCGCGCGGCGGGAGGCGGAGGCAGCGCGGGGGGCGGGCCGGCCGCGGGGCCGCACGGACGCGGAGACAAAGCGCGACGCGAGCGGCCGCGGGCGCGGCGCCAGCCCCGGCGGCGCGTTCCTGGCAGCGGCCCCTCCCCGCGCTCCGCCCCGACTTCTCATTCACACTTTCCCCTCCCTCTCCCTCCTCTCTCTCTGCCTCTCCCGCCCCCTCCGCCCTCCCCCCTCCTCCCTTCGAAGAAGCCAGGTTTCTGGCAGAGGCGGGAGCGCGGGCAGTTCCAGGAGGCGGGGAGGCCCCGGCGCCGGCCCTTCTCGGACCTGCGGGGACGCCCCCCCGCCCCCCGCCCCGGTCCACCCGCGGTCCCGACCGAGGCCCCCGAAGGCGCGGGACTGGGCCCCCAGGGGGACGCCCTGTCGTGGGGCCGCGAGACCGAGGCGGGATCCGGGAGTCGGAGGGGCGCGCGGTGGCCACCTGTGGGCACGTCCCCGGGCGAAGCCCGAGCCCAGCGGCGGAGGGGACGCAGCTGCGTGGCCGCCGCCGGCCCCGGCCCAGGTTCATGGCCGGTTCCTCTGCGGACGCCGCCGAGGTGCCGCCTGCACCACCGAGGCAGAGGGACGGCCGCGTCCCGGCCTCCGGGCTGCGCGGGGCGGGGAGGACGCTCTCCGCCGGGACTGGCCCCAGGGCGAGCGAGGGCTGCACCCACGTCCGCTAGAGGGCGCCCTGGGGTCTCGGAGGCGGAGTGGAGTTGGGCGCTGCTCCCCCAAAGCCTGGAATGGAGACCGCGGGGGGCTGGCCCAGGAGCTGGCGAGGGACCTCAGCCTCCCCCCGCCCCCCCATGCCACACACACACCAGGACAATTGGCAGCACCGTCTGGAATCAGACCTGGACATAAAAGCCCGGCAGGGGCGACGGTTCAGAAAGCCTGGCCCAGCACAGCCTGGACCGTGCCCCCACCTCTGATCTTGGGGGGGGGGCAGGGAGACCTGGTGCCATTGAGGTGAACATGCGCATGGTCCCACTGGCATGGCTGTGGGTGGCATGGCTGTGGGTGGCATGGGCATCGCGCCTGCTGCATGAGGATGGAAGGCTTTGCAGTCTGTCCCCAAGCAGGCAGTGGGCCTGGAGACCCCTGATCACCAGCAGGCGGCACTGCCAGCACCCCCCCACACACACACACACCCCGGGCTGTGGTCTCTGGGTCCTGCCCTCTCCCCTGGGCCACGTCTGCAGAGAAGGAGCCGGACAGGACGGAGAGGCAGCCTGGGAGTCTGGGACGGGGACCTGGTCCTTTTGCTTCTTGGGGAGCCGCTGGGACCCCACAGCCTTTGCCACTGTGCCATCCCCTGTGCCCCCACACGTGTTGGGGGCTATGAGATAGGGGCAGGACAGCCACAGGCTCTCTGAGGCTCTGCTTTCCGCCAAAGAGGAAAGTAACCGTTTCCCATCAGACGTCTGAGATGACAAACCCACAGTCAGAGTGCCCCAGGCATGGGAGCCATCGTCCAGCCCCCCTCCCTCCGGGCCTGGCGAGCGCAGCGGGCAGGGGCTCTGTGCAGCAGGCATGCTGCCGGGCGCTGGACGAGGAAGATGAATGAGACCCGGTCTTTGCCCTCTCGATGCGCGGGCGGACTGTCCGTGTCCCTGGAGCCAGGAGTCCGGTCTCCTCCGCCGTGGACTCCTCGGAGGCTGCGCCGTGGGCATCGCTCCTGTGCGGGGCCTCCCGGGCAGAGGAAGACTCGCAGGGAATAGCCCTGAGTTAATGGATGAGAAAGTGCTGTGTAAATTACGAGGCCTGACACCGGGCAGGTCCACTCAGCCTCCCACAGCCCTGCTCCTGCCCGGCACGGCCGGCCGCAGTGCTGGGAAGACAGGCGGCGTGCGGGGTGAATCCTGCGGGGAGAGGCGAGGTGTGAGGCGTGGGATTCCCCCCCCCCCCCCCCGCTACCCCAGTGCTGAGGGCCCTGGGGAAGGGCAGGGTGATTAGGACGAGGTTCATTTGGGGAACGGAAGGAGGAGGCGCGATAGAGAGAAGCAGCCTGGAGCTCCGGGAATGCCAGTCTGGTGGGAGGGACTCGGGGGCAGGTGGACCCTAGGGATAGCAGTGGGGGACCCAGGCTCCAGGGAGACCCATTGGCAAGGACTGCGTGGCTGCTGGGAGCTCAGCGGGGCCCAGGTGTGGGGCTGATGGGAGAGCAGTGAGGAGGGCAGCAGGCGCGCCCAGGACCCTGACGGGCCACCCAGGACCCTAACGGGCCACCAGGACCCTGACGGGCCGCCCTGGCTGGAGGAAGTCAGGATACTCGGGGGGGGGTGGTGGGCTGGGCCCCCGATGTGCCAACTCAGGAGACTGGACTGCTGGCCCCGCTCTGCCACCCAGTTGCTGGGTGACATTGGGCAACCTACTCCCTCAGCTGTGCCCGGCCCTCCGTGCTGGTGAAATGGGCCCATAGCAGTGCCTACCCCGTCCAGCAGTGTGAGGACAAAATGAGCGATGCACACACAATGCTTAGGAGGAAAGGAAAGGAAAGGAAAGGAAAGGACAGGAAAGGAGAGGACAGGACAGGAAAGGAAAGGAAAGGAAAGGACAGGAAAGGCGTGCTTGGAAGAGCGTCTTGCACGGATGAGTGCTCCATGCACGGCAGCCATATTTCCACAGCCCGGAGCCCGGAGGGGGGAGGGCGGCAGGGGCCGGGGCAGTGTGGCTCCGACGGGGCGTCCTTGCCTCAGCTGTCACCTTGCGTCCAGCAGCCGCCAGGCGTCCCTCCGGCTGCCGGGTCCCTCCAGGGGTTCCCGTCGCCTTTGGGGTGTCCCGGCCTCTCAGCGGTGTGTGGTCATGGCTCCGCTCCGTCTCCGCCCCCCGCCCCCCACACCCACCTCACGCTGCAGCTCCCGGGGGCTCCAGAGGGGCCGGGGGCTCCAGAGGGGCCGGGGCCTGGGTCTGCATGCTGCTTCCCCCGGGTGGGCCGATGCCCGCACTCTGGCTGGTTTCTACTTCCCTGTGAACTTGGCGCTGGAGACCCTGACCCCAGGGGCTCCTCCACTGGGGCTGGTGGCTCTGCCGCCTTCTGGAGGGAGCCTGGAGCTGGACTGAGCCCGATGTTTCCTCTGGGAGCCAGACATGGCCCCTGCAGCCCCGGAGTCCCTGAGGCGGGCGGTGGGCTTCCGCTGTCCCCGCTGTGGGACACCACCAGCCGTCCTCCCAGAGCCCTCTCCCTGAGGCTGGGAGGGGGGCGCGTGGCTTGGTGGGGATCAGCGTGGCTCGGTGGGGGTCAGTGTGGCTCGGTGGGGGTCAGTGTGGCTCGGTGGGGGTCAGTGTGGCTCGGTGGGGGTCAGTGTGGCTCGGTGGGGGTCAGTGTAGCCTGGTGGGGATGGAAGGCCCACTAATCCGACGACAAAGGGAGGGAGGACTCGGATGTGGCCGGGAGAGTGGGGGAGGAGTGCGGGTGGCTGGCCCCTGGCCCTGCCCAGCTGCTCTGGGGGCAGAAAGGCAGGAGCCCCGCCTTTTCCTAACCTCCCCGCACAGAGCTTCTGTGAAGTCAGAATCCCATTTCCAGGCAGAGCGCTTGGTCATACAGATCATACTCATTCACGCAGGGGAAGTCCGCGCCGTTTCACTGCCTGTGGGGCGCCACTTACTCACCGGCGTGTGACCGCCCGGCGCTCTTCCCCAAACCTGGGGCTGGGAACCCTGGTCCCCGGGCTGGGCCCGGGAGGCCCGGCCCCGCTGGGCGAGCTCAGCTCCCTACCTGCATGGCCCCTCTCCTGTCCTCCAGCCGGTCCCGGGGCCGGCGCCACGGTGGCCATTGTTTGGTGGCTGCCTTTGCGGCCACGGGGGTTGGGACACTGGCCTCAGACCACAGAGTTGCTCAAGGCCAAGGCCAAGGCCCGGGGGCGGGCTGTCTCTGGCACCAGGAGGGAGCCTGGTCGGAGGGCCGGGGCCTGTTACACGTTTCTCACGACCGTGCGAGGCCTGGAGATGCTTTCCCCGGGGCCGGTGCTTCGCGGGGAGGGCCTGGGAGCAAGGAAGCCTCCTGCTCCGGC